CCCCCCACCACATCACCCCTCCTCCTCTCATCGCCTCCTAATCATACTTTCAGAGCCTCGCACCGGGGCCATCCTGACGTTAACTAATTTCACACCGTCAAAAAACAGTCTTAAATTAGACTACCGCCTTCACCCGAATAGAACGCCCCCATCATTATCGTCGCATCTAGACTGAAAGTAGCACCACGTACAGCTCTAATGACCAGGCGTCCTTTTCGGGTCAAGACGATACAGAGTTACAGAGAGGTATGGAAGAAGGGAAGCATGTACTCAGCTGTTCCGATCACGACTCGATCATGTCCCATAATGATTGATCGAGCTCCTCTGAGGGCATACTCACACTAGTGCTTTCCTAATTTAATGCATCTGGCTGCAATTACAGACCGACCTGGACGAATCCGGCCGTAATCCCCTCCAGAGCTTAGCAGAAAAGTCCTAGTGTGAGTATGCCCTGAGTTTCGTCGACCAGCGGGAGGGAAACGACGAACGAGAAGAGCCCCTGAGATCGACATGGCGCCTTGTGGCCACTCACAGGCGGCGTTGTTGACATCCTCCTCCGCTCAGAGGCCCAGCACACGACCTGTGCTGGAGACTGCATGGCTGCGCGACAACCAAGGAGGCCACGAGACACAGAAAGAGAACAGAGGAGAGGGAGTGCATGACGGTGGTGCCATGCGCTGGGTCCCGTAGCAAGCCGGAGCCTTTGCTTCCGACGGTGAGCGAAAGGGCGCAAAGGTGCGGCCGAGTTCGACTCTGTTCGAGCGGACTTGCTGCGCGAAGTTCCGCGCTCAAGCGAAAGGGCGAACAATCACCGCGCAAGTGGAGGACAGAAGATAAACAAATGGGTGATGCACAGCTGAACGGAAAGGACGGCAAACGAGCAAGCGAGAAAAAAATACCAACGAAAGAGTGACGCATTGGCGACCGAAGAGTCGCCTTCGAGAGTGACGCATTGGCGACCGAAGAGTCGCCTTCGACACGAGGCCATTGAACCGAACACGCCCTCCTAGGGCATGGAAAGGTCCTCCCCGGAAAAAAAAAAAAAAAAAAAAAAAAAAAAAAAACACAGCCCCTCCCCTAGGCCAGCGAACAGCGTGGCGGGCTCCGGCTCCGGCACCTGCGGAGACCGGCTGGCGCGTCTCCCGAATCTACCCTCAAGGCCAGCGTCAGCTGGTGGTAGAAATAGGGCCTCGTTCGACACCACTTGTGAACTCAAGGGTTGAAGGAAAATTCTTCTTTCGACCCCACCCTAACCTGCCGGCGGAGTTGTTTCTACTCTCTAGTGCTAACCCTCGAAACTCAAATGCCGCGGGGCCAAAATCGCACTTGAGCTCAAGGTACCTCTACGGCGAGCCTCGAGTTCAAGTGCGAGGGGAGGGCAGCTCCGACATTGGCGGCGATAATTTTTAATTTTTTTTTTTGGGTAGACCATTCCAGGTCTACCGAGTGGCCCAGCCGTCCGGCAGGCCTCTCAACGGCTCTTTGGCAGCGGTACTGTGACGAACTACTTTCTGCAACCGCGCGGATTTCTGTGCAAGGCTATTTCGGGGAATGAAATTGGTTGAGTCGGGATGGCCTGGTGAATTGCATGCATGCCGCTGTTTTTTTTGTCTCTTTCGAAAGAAGCCTGGTCTGGTCCTACGACGGTTGATAGTTGATCGCGCCTCAGTGAGCGCGGCGAATAACTGTTGCCATAGCTTCTTTCTTGTTCTGCTGTGGGAAATGGGAATTTTTGGCGCGATTGCCGCGCAGGAAAATCTTTTTGAATTTTCAACTCATGTCGAGCCCCTGGGGCCTCCCGGAATTTGCTTCGTTCGGATTTTCTTTTTGCAATTAGGATTTAGGCTAGGAATTTGGGCCCATATCAATTTCTGCTGCGCGGCGCTTCCTGCTTGCGCACGCTCGGCCGCGTCAGGAACTGTGTTCTGACTTTTCCGCGCCTTAATCTCGTGTGTAACTGTAATCTTTGTTTTGGCGGGTCTGATTGCAACTGTAATCCTCTCGTTCTTGATATCTTTTGTGGCGCCCTTGCGCGCGCATACCTCTCCCCCGTCCAATTGGCCTGAACACTTGCATGACCGGATCGATGTGTGGAATTATGAGGCTACGTCCCCCACGCCGTGGCCTGGCCATGCAGTCGTAGGCACTCCCTTCCTCCTTCCTCCTACCTTCACACAATCCCGAGTATCTCGCGCACACGCATGCATGCTATAAATTTCGTAAGCGCAATTAACTCGCTCTCTAAGCATTTTTTTGGAGTTAGCGAGGTCGAGAGGATCGGCTAACGAGTGAAAGATGGCATGTGAGTAGAGAGTTGGGCGATCCGACGAGCTGATGCTAAGCGTGCGGGGTTGACGTGGGGCCGCGACGGACTGTGGCACAGGCAAACCTGGCTGGCATGCTTGGATCAAGTGGGGTGACAACTTTGTGTGGGTGTGAGGCGACGGACTGCCCGCATCGGGGTGATGAGAAGAGAGAGAGAGATTCTTCTTCTTTTCTTTTGAGCAATTTTGGTATTTGGTGCGAGTCGCCCCTCGTTTTCTTTCTGGATCGGTCTTCGGACTTGTCAATTGTTCTTTTTTGTTGACGTGTATGTTTTCATTTACTCTCCTCAGGTGTTGATGAATGGTTGTCTTCCTCACCTCCCCTTCTCTGTCTTTTGATGGTTATAATTGATTGATCCCCGACGATTGGGAGGGTGCAGTGCTGCCGGGAGCGCTACGCCCTGCCCGAACTAAGGCGCCGCCAATGAGATAGCGCGTTCACACTATGCGAGCGGCTTTGTTATGGCGATGGCAGGACTTCCTGTGGAGCGCGTGAAGGATAAATGCACGTGCAAATGGGCTATTGCTGTGCGCTTTCTGAGGTGTGTTTCTTGCTGGATTACAGGAAGTTGTTAAAGTTGACGCCGCTGGCACCTACAGCGTTGTTATGAGGCGCTTCACGGCCATAGATGTCTCCTTTCTTCTCTCCGGACTGCCAGCGGGAGGTCATCGACAGGCTCGGTGGTGTTTGTTTCGCTACGTAGCTGAGTCAAGGTAAGTGTATGCTACGATCCGTTATCCTCATCGTTCAGCCTGTGGAAGATGGTCGAGAAAGTTTGCAGACCATGAGGTGGTTGAGCTGCTTACGAGACGATGAGGGAGGAGGTGGAGGTTGGGAGGGAGTAAGGATGCCACATGGCGTGATAGGAATTGAAAGGTTTTTGGGCCATGTGAGGCGCCTTGTAGACTCTCTACAAGTATTCTGGAAGTGATAGTCTGACGCTGGCTAATCGGTTGTTGTTAATTGGTATGGTTCTACCTTTCAAGAATGATGGGGTTCGAAATGGGCAGCAGAAGGAGTGAGGCAATGCAAGGTAGGAAGACAGGTTGTATGCAGTAGTTCACCGTTCAAGCTGGGCTACGAACACACGTGGTCTGCATCGATGAGGGGATATTTTTTCATGGAGAGAGGAGAGCTCTCTTTTATGTCCTTTTTCCTCCTTACCCTTTTCTCCTCATCTTCCCCAATCCATGCTTGAGATGCCTAGTAATCCTCAATAACTTTAAAGTTTTTTTCCATTTTTCAAATATTTTCCAGATATTTTCCAGATTTCATAACCCTATTCAGAAGATTGACCCTATTGACCCTATTGTTTTGTTGATCGATCTTCCTTTCCTTGCTATGATTCTCGCTACGACCCATAGTACGATGAAAATTACAATCTCCGTTCTTTGCTAAGATTTCGCTACGACCCATATTACGATCCAAATTACGATCTTAATGTCTATCTTGGCTTTTGATATTCGTAAGTCTGAATTTAGACATCGTATATGATATTTTGTATGTTCTATGTGATCTCTTACACGATTTCTTGAAATTTGTCTCAAATCTCATTTGGAGAGTCTTAATTCTACAAAAGACGTTCCAGATAATCTCTAAACCTTTTTCTAAATCTGATTTCCAAAACCATCTCAAGATCTTGCTGCTGAATTTCGATTCCTGGAATTGGCTTCCTATTGTAATTTTTGGAGGTTAATTTTGCACTGATCAGTTTCACAAAATTGACGTTGGAAACGTGCACAGAATTTTTCCGGATTCTTTTGTACACTCATACTTATACTCATCTTAATTCGCCTGTTTTCTCCCTTGAGGAGGGGGCTGGTTGCGGGGGGTAGAATGGTAGGATGGGGGGAAAGGACGCGCTCTGTGGGAAGGGGCTAACTGCAGAGTGGAATTAGGGCACAGCAGCAGGGGAGATGGTGGCTTCACTGCAGTAAGTCTTGTCGGAGTAAGGTTGGATAGGTTTGGGAGGTGGGTGCTACCAGCTCCCGTTTTCAGAGAGATTCACCCATTGAGATGTTCTCTTTTATGGGGCGTTTGCCCCAAGAGGGCTGCGGGGTAAGAGGTGCGAACTTGAAGAGGGAGCAATTGAGGGGGGACTGTGGGTTTTGGTAGTAGGTCAGAAGGAAGGGGTTGGGACAATGTAGGCCGGTGCTACCAGTGGAGTGTTTTTGCTTTGTGACCCGGAGAGGAGCACGAGGCTTGGGGAGTTTTGTCGAGGGAGGAAGACAGAACCAGCACTTTCGACGTGGCTGTACCCGGGGTTATATCCCTGTCACCGTAGGGGCGTGCGGCTATGGGAAGTTGCCGAGGGAGGAAGGCACTCCTTACCGTCCACACTAGGTTGGTCGGTACTGGGGCTTTGCAATGCCCTGTAACTCTAGCATGGGAGGGTATGAGACCAGTCGTGTGTTAGATCGAGGATCGAATACGAGACCTGTAGTTTTCTC